GATCGTAGCAGGAACTCACATGCGGTGGCCTGTGCTATATGCTTTGAATGCCTTGAAGAATCAAGACTTATAAGCCCCAAGTCTACTGCTCAGACTGCAAGAAAAGACCCGAGAGGTTGGGAACATCCTCAAAGAACAACTCTGTCTTAGGGCTCAGGAGCTCAAAATGTCGCTCAGTCCCTCTTTAGATCAGACTCTTCAGCCCGCCTTCTGGGTATCCTTACAGGCATATATGCATATTGTATGTGTATATGTATATATATATNNGGGGGGGGGGGGGAATCTTCGCGATAGGGATTTGTTGACTACAACATAATCCATCACACTCATACAACTCCCACACTATCACAGCAGTAGCATGACGTCCTGAGCTACCCTATTCGGAAACAGGTTAGCATTCTATGCTTCAGTCCATATGCCAGGCTTTGACTCTTTTACCTTCCCTGTGAGAACTGTGTACACAGTACCGCAGCATACGTGAAGACTGCCAGACAAGGGTACCCATCAAGGAACCAAGATCTCAGCTTCAAGAAACCCCATATCTGATTGAAACCGGCGGAGCAGCTGCAGCTGCAGTCTGATTTGTACTTGTGGCTAATGCCTCCTGTTTTCCGCCTGACACCTTGAACGAAAGCTGCAGCTTAAATTGCTACAAACCAAATGCGCGAACAATTTCTTCAGTGACCGTAGGTGCAGCCAGGGACATCACCAGCACACGCTTGAATCCTCGCGCTTGATCCGATATCATTGCCCCCGCAACCTAACATATCATACCATCTGAGGGGACATGCCGTCGCAATCTTCTGTACTCAGGCTTCAACTTTAAACTAAAATTACAACTGCAACAGCATCGGACCCCAAACTATGACCATCCTAGCTAACGGTGCCGTGGCAGGGGTTGCACTTAGCTTCCTGAAAGGGAAACACGGCGAAATTCTCATTGAGCATCCAACCAGCAGTGCCTCTTTGAGCAGCTATGAGAATGGGGTCCCTGAGCCCTTCATGCTGGCACCCAAAAAACGAAATTGATTTTCGCAGGCAATAGTCACAAGATCATCCGGACCCTATGCGGAATGTTGTACTTCTACTTGGCGCAAACGCCTGATCCAGGTAATTAGGCCCCACCACCCACCATTTTGCCTGAACATCAACCTTAACCCTGAACGCTTAACTGCCACTTGACGGACTGCAGATGCCGCCGCCGCAGCGAATAGGCTCATTACTGTCCTGATATTTGCTCAGGGCCACAGAATTAGGTTGGCCTAAATGGAGCATTTAGCTCATAGTGACTACATAGGGGGTCAGTATACATAATACAGCAGCTCTAACAGGAGCCCTGGCTCTTGCCCTCGAATCATTGTAGTACCTGCATGAGACCATTCAGGCCTCAGACTAGACATTGTAAACAGCACTTTGGGACGACATCCCGATGTGGGGATCCCACTGGAGCTGTGACTCGACTTCTGCATCATCCCAGAAGACTTTGCTTCATTTGAAAATTTGTCTGCCAAAAAGCTGGTTGGGAGACTCTACTGCAAACATCCTTGGGTGTGTTGAGCAAGGAGAATATCGAATATGAGGCGCTTATGGCAGCTTTGACAGCTCAACATGATATCTACTTGACAGTCGGGCTGGCTTCCTGCTGGGTCTCTACGCATAGGAGTCATCCTATCAGGCAAGCAACCTGTTTAACGGTTATGCTGCTCTTCCGAAGGCTGCGGGCCGTTTTGCCTGGGGTTGAAGCTTCAATCGAACCGCTAAGGCCGGAGGCCCTCAATTTTGAACTTGTAGGTGCCGCCTCGCACAATTAGTTTAATCGGGTACTAAGCTCCTTCTCAGAGTTGCTGTCTTCTGGGCGAGTCTCAGCTGCACGGGCTATATATGTCACACTGGACAGGCGGACCGTCCGTTCGACTCATTGATGGCGGACCAACTGGGCGGGATGCCAGTGATTGGGCAGCTTCAACCAATACTTTAGAATACCATGATGCACAAGATCCAGCGAACATCGATACTTGTCATGCGTCATTTCACCTGAATCTGCGATAACCTTCCCATGTCACTCTGACATTGCGCAAAGGCCTAAAAATGCCGAATAACTCATCTCGCCCTTGCCAGAACCTTATATTTTAATTCAATGAAAGAGCTAGAGATGAAGCATGAACATGTCGGACTTGGTATGATGCAAAGAAAACACCCGTATAGCCATGGCTGGAACTAAGTCATCTCGCTCTTGCGAATGACAGTGATCACAGAACGCGCCCAATCTCAAAGCAGCTGCCCCAACGATACACCGCAATACCGGACCACGGGTCGCAAGACCACAGGCCAAGGATGATCTGTCACGGTCTGGTTGTTTGGTGATGTGTTACGCATTCTGGTCTTTGGACAAAGTTCCACATGGTGCCGTGAATCATGACTGTCCCGCTCTCCACATGCTTTCGCGCATTTCTGTCTATCTTTCACGCCCCAACCAACTTTTCCAGTTCTTCGGTTCCAGGCGCGCCTGGAAAGGATGAACATACAGCATGCAAGCGACAATCTCTAACCTTCTCGGAAGTATGCATAATTTGGGAGGACACCAAACGAAGTTGACCTTCTCACAGTTCACGTGAAGTACTGCAACAGCGTTCACATCACAACTCGCTGAAGACAGACTCTGCTTTACTGAAACCATGGTTCATATGGATCATCCTTGCCTTCATCCGGGCCGAATTAAATGCCCTTGTGAGACAACAAGCTATGCAAGCACGGAGTGTGCTTCCCTGAGGGCTGCGCAATTATCCGATTTTTCCAGACGGCTGGCATTCGTTCATGAGGCTTGGCAGGAGGTGATCCCTCTCAAAGGGATGTTTGACCCTCTGCAAAATCATGGGGATTTCCCAAAATCGGGGTACCATGTTGGGGGTCCCTATCTATTGGGGTCAATTTTGTGGTCCCTTCTTTATACAAACTACCACACATTCAATGTTGCTTGGTGATGGAGATCCCGGACCCCATTCTCCAGTTGCATCGCTACTCACGTATTCAAGATCGGAACAACTACCCACACATGGCCTTTGCGGACTCACACCGTGCGGTGAGACCATCCATGAACACTATATGAAAAGGCCAACATGGGAGCCCAAAATGCATGGCCTGTAGTTGATAAAGACACTGCAACATTATGCCTGATAAGCCTGAACACTCAACCACCACCACGTCTAAAGACATCAGCCATGCCCTCCTCAGGGCCAGCGCACAGCCGGGATGCGTGGATCTGGGGGACGAATCACCTCCCATTGGACGTTTGAGGCCCAGAAGCCTAGGCCGATGAGGTTTGGATTCAGGGTTTAGGGTCTAGGGCTTAGGGTTTCAGGGTTTCTGCTTGACAGAGGATGGAGACTGGGACAAAAAATCCTTCGACTCTGACCAGCTCACTGGGTCTGCCTTCAGGTCCTCCTGTTTCTCAGATCACCGTGCTCACCTAGTTTAATTCTTCAAGCCCCTTAAATCCCGATATAACCCCACTTGCCATTTATTTTCATGTTCTTTGACGGCAACCGTTGTGGTTTTGGGCTGCAGGGTTTTGAGCCGATGTGTCCCCTGCCTGCTTGAGCTGACACCTCAAAAAAGCCTGTACGAGAGATTGTCCTTTTTGTAGTCCTGGAAACACAAACCTTCCTACCAAAGGTGAAAGGTCTGCAAGGAAGCAACAGTCAACTACGTGACAGCTCATCCTCTTGACGCTGCTTCTAGTTAGGAGTTGGCAGTCAGGTCAATTTGGCAGGCGCTTTCAGAATTGTGTGGTGTTGCAACAGAATCTTGGAACCCACAACTCCAGTAGTGGCTAGCCTGAAGCCCAGACTCCGCAGCTCTGCACCTTCACGTACGGTCCCAGCAGAAAACGTTCAATCTGCTAATATGCCCTTAAAGTTAAACCTGAAACATGAGGGCACAAGCTAGGAAATTCCACCTGCAAAAAGAACAGTACTTTATCTCAAATCCCGCACACAACCCGTACATACAAGACCTAACATGCTCCGAGCCACCAAGGCAAGGAAAGACTTCGTCCTGAAGAGGCGGTGGCACAGGTGAGAACTATCTGAAATTCCTAAACCCTTCCCAGATGATGAAGAACTCTGTCTGTGGAACTTATCTTGGACATTGGGCATGCGAAATCTGGAGCCTGAAAATTTCAGGGATTCCTGGCAGTGTCATCTGCCAAGAATGAGTTCTGAGATCCTTGGTATTGCTGGTAAAGGCCACCCCAAAGCCATCCTAGGATAGTCAGGTTGAGTGAGTGGCATTTTCGAGTTGACACATTCTAGTAGACTGCTAAGCTGGGGGAAGGGAAGCAAATTCCAGGTTCATTTCAAGATCTACATCTTTCTCCCCCCATGACAGTCCCTGCAGATGGCGCGGACGACCCACCTACACCACGTGAGTTACTGACATCAAAGCAATACTCTGACAGAATGCCAGGCATGAACAAGCTAAACTCCTTTATGCACTAGCAGCTAGCACCAAAACACAATGGAAAAACCCTCTACAAAGCTTCACCAGCACCAAATACAAGAGCGACACCTAACCATCAAACGACCTTAGCCCAAAAAATGTAAGCCACCACAGCCTCACCCAGCAGGAAAAACACGCGCAGCAACTCAACCCTGGACTTTTTATAGAAAGACAAGGCGTCCTCCAAGTCAGCAGCCATGACGTGGGACGACTGGTCCTTGGGACTCTGTCTTGCTGTGCCCCTGTTTCTAGCTACCTTGCGGGAACTGGCCGTTAGAACAAACACATGAATCCACACGGCCCGCCGTATGGAACAGCTGTGCAGAACTGGAGATCGTGTGAGACGAAAAATGATGCCAAATGTTGGAGCCAGTCACGCCCTACATACATGCAAGGCTCGAACCTCTCTGTGAGAAGCTGGGATGGTAGCTGATATCTTGAGATTATGCGGCTTTCAGCGTTGCATGAAAGTTTGGGTATTCTGGGTATTCTTGCCAGTCCAGTCATTCGCGCAAACACCCATATTCTTGGGTGCCGGCCTTGCCACGGCAAACAAGCTTGCCGTTGTGACCTTGGCTCCGAAGCTGAAGCAACAAAAAGGTACAGTGATTTTCCACCTTCTTCCAGACCTATGTTTCGTTGACTTAAAGCCTGGCAGGAGTATGTGCCTTTGCCAGAAACTCCCCAAACAGCCAATATGTCCGTTTGGCTAGAACAGACTGAACAGCGAATTGGCCAAAATGGGCAGCTGGTGGGTGCGAAGAACGGCCTGCGCCAGCTTGATGTGGGTTGTTGATCTTTACCGAAACCCTCCTGACAGCCCAGGGGCTAAATATGAGAGTGTTGCCTTGACGCAGGACGCCAATCACGTCCCCTTGGGCAACCTTCATGGAGCCGAAGTTGGTGCTGCGCCTGAGGATGAACGGGCTTTCATGGCCTAGGGATTATAGGGCCTATAGGGTTTGGAGCTAAAGTGCTAGGCACTGCTCAGCGTGATCGATGGAACCGCTAATATGGTGACCACTCTAGCTAGCTGCCTTCTCATAGTTCGATCAGGAGAACACCTCTACCATATACTGGTGTACCTCATTCCCCTTCACAGATGAGCGAAGAGCTGGTTGCGGCGGCGCCATTGAAGTAAAGCAGAAACTCAGACGACAACATCCCGTAAAGGTTAGGGCGGTAGGCAATGGAGCCCACTCTTGCAGTCCACCGACTCAGCAGCTAGCCATCCCTGCAAACTTGAGGCCAGGTACTCCATGTTTCCTCCCCGGTGTCGGCAGAACTGTGGGTGAGAAGGATTCCATACCCATGCCTGCACAGAGTCTGGCGAAAGATCAGCAATGCAGGCAATACGGAGAGAATGTATCGTATCAAAGACATGCAGTAGGCAGCGTAACAATGTTCATGGAAATCAAAATGGTCATAAAGGTAAGATTAAAGGCAAAGGGGGAGCCAGCTGGATGAATCTAAACGAGCTAGATGGCTTCACCGTTGATGGGGCGCAAGGCAACTCTACTTGGGCTTGAGCCAGGGTCTAACAAAGCAAAAGTGTGGTTCTCAGAGGCTGCGGGCGCCACCAACTTGGGTTGGGCTGAAATGCCTGATACGTAGCAAGCCACTTTACGTATGTCATGCCTTGAAACCAGCACCTGAATTCCACCACTAAAGTAGGAAGCACACAAGCATGGCAAGCCTGGGCATCTTTGATTCAAATTTGAGGCGTGGATTCCAGGAGGGCGATTAAAAAATTCTTTTGGACATATGCGCCCTTACTCTGCGTGTTGAAGCCCTGAGAGACCCCATCGAAGTAGCTGCGCTCCAGTCGCCTGCCAACTGTTCAAATTGTCGGGCGCGGTAGCAACTCCAATGTAGACAATGCTGCCGGTATACCACGTAAGGCACGCCTTGCACGCAGGCAGAACTGTGTGCGCATGCTGAACACGATTGTGATTGGTGTCAGCACTGACGTAGTCGTGAATGCGTACAAATTCTCAATTTGACCAGTGCAAACTGAGTCAAATCCACTGCGTCAGCACTCGAGGCTTGAGGCCTTAAATCCTAGAAGAAGTGCTGAGTAGGGAGTGAGCGATGCCTGTGGCGGCCCCTGAAAAAGGATCTCAGAACAAAGTTCCTCTCCTATACCGCGGTAAGCATTAGGGAGCAATCCTGCCCGACAACCTAGCGCTATATCTCCATAAAAAAAGAAAAAACAAATATCGTAGCGCTCGAAAAAATGTACCCCCCAAGGGCCCAGGTGGAAATACAGAACAGCTGAGGGGCGTAAAAGCTTCCACCGTCCGGTGACAGGGGCTGTGCAGCCACTGCAAATGATCGTGCGTCGCCTCAACGGTCGCATTGCCATGCAAACAGCGTACTAGAAGAGGAAAGGTTCACAAGCGGCACAAGCGGAGTTTCTAGCTCAACTTGGATTTGTATTTTTTTGGCTTGGATGGTCATTACTGCATCATCAGGGGCATCATGCGACATGAAAAAAAAGCAATGCATTCTGATGCCAGTTGTGCCACAGGGGTATCAGGCGCAAGGTTCATGACTTGCCTCGGGCATGGGTATACAACATTGTCTCGTAGATGATCGTAGAATCACTGGCTACACGATGAAGTACCAAGTTGTGTCTGCTATGGTAAGTTCTCACTCCTCCTGCGTGAAGTTTACACAGTCTCCCAGGGCTCGTACACAGCACATGGAACGGACCAAACGCAAACGAGCTGACACACATGCTGTACAGTACTACGTAGATGGCAAGCCACATAGCTATCAACCCAGAATTGGGGTGTCCACCACCTGGTCCATGGAGCTTTTGGCAAGATGGCTCCCAAAGAAGCCTGTTAATCTTGAGGCAACCTATGTCTAGCTGGGACGGTGGGAGTTGAGATGCAAGTTCCAAAGCAAGAACACATGCAGCCAACAAAGTAGCAAGGGAGCTGGAAACCCAGGACAGCATACACAATTCCCATAGCTTGAGCAACAATGGACAGATGCCTCCATTAAAGGTCTGACCATGCTCTCCTCCCACAATCCAACAGCAAAAGCCTCAACAGTCTAGCCCAGTTGCGAAGGCTCCGCACCAGTGAGCCGTTGTGAAGAAATTCGATAGAATTCCTCAGTGCAGTGGCCCAGTTTCGCCGATGCCCTCTTGCAGAGTAAGGCAGGTTCATGTTTGTTAGCAGTGTGGGTAAGAGCTATGGGAGCCTTTCGTTTTTGTAAGGGTCCCATCTTGGCTTCGGCGCTATCAGAAGAACCCTCTTCCCAAAACCTTCAAGCAGTAAGAACATTGCGCAAATCTTGCGTTCAGAAGCAGAGAAACAAAAAGCAAGCGATACACCCTTGCACTACTTTATCAGAAGCTCCCAAAGAATCTTTGCTGCACTAACTTGCCAGTCTTCCTGATAAAACTTCAAGAAAACCGTCCCTAGCATAGAATTACCACATGGCTTGCTTGTAGGGTCCAGGCACGTTGAACGACTCCCCGAAAAGACGTGCATTGTGCCAGAAACACCTCCCCCGACCCATGAAATACCCAATAATTGCAAGCCAAGAAGCCCAACGACCCTGGAACTGTCGAACTTGAGCCGGCGTCTCTGCCGCGTGCGCTGCGTGTCTACGCGATAGTTCCCATCCTCAGAAATCTTGTTGGTGCTACAACACACTGAACACACTGCTAGCGGGCCTGTCAGCAATGCCACTCTCACTCTTGTGCAAAACCGGAGTATTGTTAAACCTTCCACTTACTTACAGTTGAACTGCATACAACCCCTCGATTGCTGTGGATGCCGGGGAAATCGTGCTTTGAAACCTTTATGAAACAGCTTCCTGCTAGAAGCCTGTAAAGGACCTACCAGGTGCCCAGAACACATGGGGGGGGTGTACCCCAAAGGTAACCCTTAAACGCCCGAATCCGCAGCTCTAAGCCTTTGGTAAGCCCTTCGGCATCCAGAGCCTATGTATGAGCTACAGTCTAGACTCCTGGTATCCTCCTTGATACCCCGTATACTAATCCCCTATGTCATCCCCTTCAAGGAGCTTAGACTGAAGCTCAATATAAGAATCCTCTAACTCTTGCTGCCCTGGTTCCTGCATCCCATCCAGGAGTGCCTGAAGCGCCTCTGGCACCTCAGAATCTACTCCCCTAGGGTTTGGGCCCAACAGAAAGAACCATAGCACTATACCCCATATGCAAAGACAATGCTTGCAGAAACATGTACATACTCACATCTAGAAGAGCCGCAACAAGAATCTCTTATCTATCAGATTTGTGGTTGTTGAGCTCATGCTTGAGAGTTTCAAGTGTAAAGGGGGAGATCTCATTTGCCAAGACGGCCCTAGAACTAGATGTGGAGCCCTGTAGTGCGAAGCAACCAGTAACCAAAATGACCCTAACGCCCAACAAGCTCTTTCCTATGGTGGTGTGCAAGGTTTGGTGGGGGTTAGGCAGCTTCAGTGTCTAGAACAAAGTGACACCTTATGAAACGCAAGCACGAACAGCAGACTTCCATGGGACACCCGGTAGGCCCAGCGCTGGGCCAGAACCCCCTACCTGACGACTATCCTGAGCCGCAGCACTGCCATCAGCGGATCCTTTCGCACGATCTCTGTCACGAAGTTTTTGGACATGATCGGGAAGCGGACCTTGGAAAAGAGATCGAAGAGCGTCTGCCTTGGCGGGACACAAAATAGCACGTCTGTCTGCACGTCACCCCTGGGTCTGGCGGCACATGGATCTTGAGCCTCTTTGGGGCGGGTGCGTGCCCTGGGGTCGGTACTACGAGATGTTGCATTCCGAACAGCACCCTACATCCTGCCCTGGCTCCTGCGACTAAGGTGAAGGTACCATCCACATGCTTCCAACAGTGTCTTTTCGTTGATTAGCGTGCAACATGCTGCTGACTACCAGCTTATGTGGTTCTCTTGGTTGATCCTTTCGTAGTACGAACCTGACTGCACAAGAAGGAGGCATCCACAAGCGGCTCATGCAGATACTCGGCATTTTGTTTGGGCCCCAGACACCGGACTCCAACTCCATTCAACTTGGACAGGCCTCTGTGCTGGAATTATACAATTCCAGATGCGTCTGGATGGTCAAATGACAGAGTGGTTGAGCAGTTTCAGGGCTCGCTGACACATTCTCCGATAATATTGCGCTCGTCTCACCGTGCCCTCTCATGATACGGCGCGTTGACTGACTATGCTTGCTACTTTGGTCCTTGGTGCTATTTGGCCCAATATGCCTCAGCACTTGGTCTGTTTAAGCAGTATGTTGGTCGTGCTGGCTATCTTGGTGGTTTGTGTTATTGGGCCTAAAGAGCCTTGGCCTGTGGCATGCAGTATGGTAGTTGTGCTTGTTACATTGGTCGTTGACGTTATTGGGCCCGACCTGCCTCTGAACTTGGCCTATTGATACAGCAGGTTGGTTGTGCTTGATACGTTGGTTGTTGGCGTTATTGGGCCGAATCTGCACTTGGCCTATTGATACGGTATGTTGGTTGTGCTTGCTGCGTTGGTCGTTGGCGTCATTGGGCCCTCTGTGACTCACGCTTTCCCCTGGTGGAGCGGTGCTCTGTCGGCACTGGCCTCGCAAAATGTTTGTGCTGTCCAATCGTCAAGGGCCCAGTGTACGGCCCATCCAACTCCAGCAGCAATCATGAGAAATCTCGCAAGAAGTACACAAGCGACGCAATGTGGAAATACTCGCGTCCCGGCTGGTTGCTTATCTAAGAACTTGCGACTTGAACTTTGTGGCGAAGGGGGGCGATGACGCTTGCAGAGCCCCCCTAAGATGCTGACAGGGAGACGGGAGGCAGGCCGCACCATAAGTGCTGCTCGACACTCACTCACTCACTCACTCACTCACTCACTCACTCACTCTCTGCACATAACAACCCAGGACGAGACGTACAAGAATCGCCACTGCTCTTGCAACATTCACCAAACAAATGTGGTGGACAGGTTACCTCCCCCCATACTATAACGGATGGAATTTCTAAGGACGACAATGAAGAATAGTGGGGCAGCCTCAAAGTGAGCAGGTAACGCCTAAGAATGCAAAACTCGAAAGGATGTCTGTTGAAGGGGAGACTCTTGTAGATGATTGCTGTGCAAGATTGGACTGAGATGTTGAGTGACAGTTTTGCTCCAGCACTGATGTCGACACAAAGAACGACCAGTGGATGTAAGCCAAACTCAAGGTGCTGTCATATCTCAGCCAAAGAATGTGACAACTGCTGCTGGTGATCAACCGGTTTGCGGTAGCCCATGAGACCGGGCTTTTCCAGGAAACATGCACCAGAGAACGCTGATTGCAAGGGCAGCTTTTAGAGTTGCAATCACAACCTGATCACATCTCAGCAGGAGGTCTGTCAGAGATGCATCAACATCATCACCCAAATGATCATTGTCATCGTCATCACACCATCATCGTTAGTACTATATACAACCATATAATATCAACATCTATGATGAAGATGCATCAGAGCTAAGAAGCCTCCTCAAGCAAGAAAGCTTGCACCGGGAGCTGCAAACCTGCTTACCCAGCAAGATTCAAAACCCAAGACGAATAAAAGGAAAACTGGCTGCAGTTAGCTTCAGAAGTCGTGGAAACCGTCTCTGGACCGTCCAATTCTTCAGCTTACTGTAGCAACACGTCTGACATCTACAGTGCTGAAGACAGCAAGCTGAGAAAAAGGCCGTCTCTACAGTGATTCCCAAGCACTCTTCCTATCGCTACCTTACCTTCATACGACACAAGTCCGACAAAAACAAAAGCAAGTGGCGGCAGCAAATCAGTCTGCGCGTTCGCCTCGGCAGCCATGGGGAGCTTTAGGGGGGTTGTGTGGACTCGACTACGTGAAGCCAAATTCTGGTCCAGGGGTGTTTCCTAGTTGCCCGGGACCAGAAGCCAGAAGCTTCAATTGACAAAGGCCATTTTGCATGCTGCATGAGTTTTGCTGTTCACGGGAGCTGAGATCCACTAATGTTACACTTCCACTCCGTGCAGACCCAGCCACCCAGCGTCGCACCGCCTCAAACACGACCTGCAGTGGCAAAATCACGCTCCTAGATTCGAGATATATTGTCATCATCTCTGTGACCGAAGAGTCGAAACGCTGAGGTGCAAGTGACTGGCCACGTAGGGACAAGTGCAAATGTTCCAGGATGAGCGCCTACTTACAAGAGGACCCCCTTCGCAAGCATCCACAGAAGGGACCAAAGCGTCCAATTTCTTCCAACCGACTGAAAGTCATCTTGAGATATAGTGAGCTCAACAGCAACTGGAGCTGTCACCTCAGGAATGCACTGTCTCTGTGGCTTGGCTCTGCTTTGCAAAGCCTGCACATTCAAGACCATAGCCATAGCCTTCAAGTTCACGCGCCTATGAGCTCGCCAAGGTTAAACTGTTGTAGATCTCAACGACAGACTCTTTTCCAAAATTGAAATCCGCTGGTCATGAAGCTACACGCTGGACACTCATGCCGAGAGAATAAAAAAAGGCTACTTAATCTCTGAACTCTAAAAACTTTCTAGCTGGACCGCAGCCATATTTCTGATCATGTTCTGGTGGATGAACAGGATCCATTTCCGTTTATGGATTCCACATGAATACAAGGCTTTGCTGCTTGCGGGGGTCCCGAACGTTCCCACTCAAATGGCAGCTATTTCATAGCTACAGATCTCCGGTCTCAAACAATTGTGGTCCCTTGAGGGGGCCCTACGCAGGAGCTTTCATTGCAAGGCCTAGGACCAAATACTTGGTCATTCCACTGGCCTTAGTTCTATACTTATGCCTATACATGCACATACACACACACATAGAGAGAGAGAGAGAGAAAGAGAGACAGAGTGCAGTTCCCTTTCATGTTGCAATGTCTTTCCTTGACTCTGATGCTCCTTATTGGATCATGTCAAGACATTAGATGAACGTGTGCCAGAAATAGGCCGGCCAACCCTTAGACTTGGCTCTCTTTACTTGCCTCCTCTTTGCTGATGTTCAAGTCATCCTCCCCAAGCAGGAGCAACAGCCGCTCGGCACTCAGCCTTGAACTGTAAGGGATGAACATGATGCTGCAAGGTCTGTACTAACGATTCTCTTTTCGGTGTACAACGCGCCGGCTGTGTTTCTTGTGGAGGCGGTCACAATGTGGAGCCGAGGGTCGTGAGGAATTCCGAGCCTTCTGCAATGTCCTCGAAGTTCCCAATGCACATAATCTTTGCGGCCTGGGAGGAGCGTACCACGCGCTAAGCTAACGAAATACTGCTCAGAACTATCATCTACAACACATCAAGCGACCGGTTTCCGCTCTCTTCACTTTCTCTTGAGACTTCGGTCACCTCGCACTTAGGAATGTCGTTCATCATTGCACACATACATGCACACGTATATGTATATATATATATTTTTTTCATTGCAGCATGTGGTCCAAAAAACGAGACCACAGCAGCCTAGATCATCAGGCGGAGTGGGGAATCCTGAAGACTGCATCATTCCAAAGTGCAGGTAACAAACGACCGCGACCTCTGAGAAACCCTGCACCCCAAATGATGCGCATAACGCCCTAAGTACAAGAAGGGGCCCAGAATTTGGAGATGCGCCCATTGTGCTTGCCCCAGTTGCGTTCAGCAACTTCGAGAGAGACAGGCGGTCGGCCACTTCCCAGATGCGCATGCAGTTTCTTGGAGAAAGTCGCTCCTGAAGGTGTAACACCCGATGTGGGTTCTCAAAAGAAAGACGGATGCCTAGGAGTCGTGAAACGGGGTTAAGGGCCTTGATTCTAACCATTCCTGGTCATCCTAGACCTGTCAACTGTAAAATCACCATGAGCAGCAGATGAGCAACAGAATTCAACCACCACTCCGTCTACTGCTCCTACTGCTGCCGCCACTGCTCGAAAGTTTTCAAGACAGATGGTGATAATGCTGATGATGATGATGATGATGGTTCAGCACCCTGCTCACCCCAGAGGCCTCCGCGACATGCCAGGTCAGCTCCAGGAGTCTCAGGTACTGTAGTCGGGACGCTGCCTGAACAAGAGGCGGATCAGCTCTTCAAGGCTGCACGTAGATTTCGGCAAAGGCGTTGATCAAAACGCGGGGCACTGTTGGTCATCAAAGCTTTCTCTGAGCAGCACTGCCCTTGGCGTGCCAGACCCGATGTTTCAACCTTCTACCGCAAAACAGTCATGGTCAATCCATCGCCACATGCCATCGGATGTGACTTGTGGACATCCAGCCCTCTGCGTGCACATGCAAAGCAAAATGAATCCAGGTGTACGAAGTGTTGCTCCAGGAACCATCCTACAGGCTCCTCCTCCCAAAGAACCTTTGCTGCAGAAAGACAAAGTTTGCACCCGTCCCATCGCACTGGGCCTCCAGGACTTGCACCAAGAGGTCTTCCTGGATCGTACCTTAACGTTTTCTTTTGTTTCCTGGTGGGGGATGTCGCAGCACTTGGGCGCTTCGAAGGTTATCCTGTTATGTTTTGGGCTGTTTAGGTGCTGCTGGTAGCCGGTTTGCACTCTCAGAGAATGTGCACGAAGCCTTTCACATAGGGAGGCTTCCAGCGGAATTTAAAAGCTCGTGGCTACCTCTTCCTCCTCATGTACATGGGCTACACCGGTCGCACTAAGCCTTCCGTCGCCTGCCTTAGGCTTACACCATCTACCCATGGCTTGCAACGCTTGCACACTTGGTGGTGCAGCTCTGGAGCTGGAGGACCTCTCTTAGGCACCAAACGAAAAAAAGAAAAAAACAAAAAAGTATGATGTCACTCACATTCTGGGCAAAACTGTTACTCCACCCCTCCAAATCGGAGGATTGCCGGGAAGAAGCAATGCAGCCCATGATCCTCTCCAGAGTTCGAGGCTGGTGGCTAGATTAGCTACATGGGGTTCAGAGGTTTGGGCAACTGTGCAGCTCAGGGAGCAGGAGCCAGTGTACATGTGCTGCAAGACAGCCTCGAAAGCCTCAGTGCTCAAGACCATGCATTGTGGATAGATTGCAGCTTGAAAGATCTTGAAAGCCTACGCAACAATAGTAGTCAATAGCACGTAGGATAATGCACATGGTGAATACCTGTAAAATCATTACTGCTCTACGCACACAGGGTACAGCAAATGAAGGTCTGACCCCACGCTTTATCAGCCACACGAGACTCACGAGACGGGCAAACGTTGCAACTCAAACCTCAAGCAAGCACCAAAAAATACCTAGTATGATCAAGCTACCGCCCACCCAAGACATGAGATAGCTGGTGACTACTACTCATCAGTAGAACTTCGTCAGATATTTTCCCGTCAGAGCACTTGGCCCGCAGCCAAACCCATCCACAAAACAAGAGGGCTTACAATGTCGAAAGGATGCAAGGAGAAAAAAAACAGGCTGTCCCGAAGCCGCAACTACCAAGGCGAATCCCAAATAAACAAAACTGTGAGTCTACTGGAAAGGCTCGTATTTTTTGCATCCAGGCCTTTTTGTGTGGCACATGAGCAAATGGGCAAAAATAGACCATGACATAACCCATGCTTTTAGTTGGACCCCCGTTATACATTCGGCCATGTTCCTATGGAGCCCTATATCACTCACCCGAAACCATAATGGCAGCCCTACTTCATTGATATCAGTCTTTCCATAAATAGGGGGACCCCAATATAGACCCCCGAAACATTACAGTCCTCATTATTAAATGGGGCTCCCAAAAAGGTACCTGACTTTGGGAAACCCTAAACCCTACATAACCTCTGCATATCCCCAGTGGACAGTAGAATCCCCCTAAGAGGCCTAAGGCCTAAGGGCCCATATTAGGACCCACACTTCCAACCTTACTTGGCGGGTTTAGGCGGACTTGGTAAGTAGGTTAACAACCCCTATATAAACCATATAGATTGACCCAAATAATCGGGCTTTAGATTCCAAATACCATGGCTATTATAGTATTTGGGCCCTAAAACCTATTATTTGGGTCCTTGGACCCTTAGGGACCCCCATATATCCCCCTATAACCCCTTTAAGGGGACCCTATTATTTGGGTCCTTGGACCCTTAGGCTTCGGGAATTCAGGAAGAGGGCTGAGGCCGGCATGTCTGGAAGATCCATGGACTCGCAGTTGCTGTCTGCCATGCCGATGCAGAACCGGGCCTCACAGCTTTGGTCTAGGGTTGAGGGTTTAGGCTTAAGCAGGGTTTAGGGGTAATATTATATTGGGGTTATATTGGGATAATGGAGACTGAGGTTATATAATATTGGGATAATGGAAATTATAAACTGGAAGCTACTATCTAGGGTTTAACCCCCCTTTCCTTGGCATCTGAAGTTCCTTCAGGCCACTAATCCCCCTTTCATTTTCATTCATGAAGCCCCTTTGAACCACAATGTCATCCCCTTTCCATTTTCATGTGTGAAGCCTGTTTCAAGCCTGTTTCAGCCACTATGTAATCCCCTTTTCATTTTCATTCGTGAAGTCCCTTTGAACCACTACCTAACCATTTCATTCTCCATCATTGGGCTTGTTCGGGGCTCGCGCTGAGCTTGCGTGGTTCCAAAAAGCTTGGCCACGATTTCTTGCTTGTTGGTACTGCCTGCAAGATCTGTCTCCTAATGATGGAGAATGAACTGCGCAGAATGCTCAGCAGAACCATGATCCCTGTTGTCTGATGTAGTATGCAACTCGGTTTAGGTTGCTTTTCAATGCTGAGTGTACTTGTCCCGCATCTATGCAGGCCGGGGAAACACACCTATCTGGAGAAAAGCCACGGCCGCAGTTTGGTGAGAATCACAAGAAAAATGGAATAGGCCATGCACTCTGTTCTGTACCAGCTCTCATGTAATGACGCTTATACATCCTCGGTACCAGCATGGGCCAAGTGCATCGATTCTGGATCCCCTTCATTTTGCACTGGATTCGGTATTGGGTGCAGAGGGCATGTTCAACATCAGGCAGGGATGATCCTCTTGAAAGATTTGCTCCTTCATCCCTTGGTCCTGGTCACTTGGCCTGCTTGCCTGCCAGATGTTGAAAATGGTGCTTGTGAGGCACAGTCATAGCCTATCCAAAGAAATGCAAGGAGGATTGTGTATGGGTTGCATTGCGGATTTTGGGATTACAGAGGTTTAGCCCCAAAAAGGAAAATCACATTTTTATTTTGACCCTATGCAGTTGAAGGCTGCAGTTAATTAAACCTCACATGGAAATCTCCCAATCACGTGCTGTTGCATTTGAAGCCCTAGGCTTCCATGGAACACGTTAACATCCTCTTTGCAAAGGCCCCGGACACGCAATTCTGAGAGAGTCCACCATTGGAGGTATGGTCTTCAAACTTAGGACCAGGGAGTCTAGGCCTCGAGTTAACCTGGTTCAATGCAATGCCGTCAAGCAGCTCGCATGTAGTCTGAGCATGAAGCCAGAACCACCCTGTGAGCTTTAAACAAACCTCAGCCATGCCACTGCTCAGACAGACACGCTCACCATCAAGACTGTAGGCTCAAGATTGTGAAGATCATGAGTTGAAACGTGGCTGCTGGTCTTTGCGGTGTTGTGTTTCTTCCTCAATGTACATGATGGAGACAAAGTTCGGGGATCTCTGCCTGAAAGCTTCACATAGCCAAACACAGCTCCCTACATATTCAGTTCTTATGGGAATTGAATTTCCTGCTTCCGCTTTGGTCCCTGGACTTTTCTGCAGACTCTTGCCGCATAATGTTGTGATGCAGCAGCCGTGCAAGAAGCCAAAGATTAAAGCTTTGGGCCTTGATTGGGGCTTCAAATAATTTAGGTTGAAGCAATCGTCGTGCTGTCGCGAAGCTACGCACCGGAAATTTCGGGCCGAGCAGCAGGCCTCAACACGAATTTCCACGTCGCATAACACACCGTTTCCTCGGGCTGACTCATTGACATCTCAGTTTACTGCCGGGCTTGCTGGCATCAACCACATGGGGAAGTGATATACATGTTTGTATACATATATGTATATACACATATGAGTGTGTTTATGTGTATCTATATGTAATGAAGAGGGCCTTGTTGCGTTCCGCTCCCTGAGCCTCTCTTAACATACCCCTTGAAATGCCAACATGTTGCATACGCTCCGTCGCGTTTGTACGGCCTCTGTAAAATGCCACATTATGGGAGATCTGTTGCAAAACCGGCTGGTTTGTAACGGACGTGGGCCCCGGCCCTTGGTACAAGCCAATGATTTTGGCACGCTGCCATGTACATATGTGTAGATATGCACGCCGTCCTTCCCTTACATAGAACCGCCTCAAGCCTTGCACATCAAGGAACCTCACTAAACAATCCTCGCACGAACCCTGCTGTGCATCGTCATATTGTTCAGACTCCACCGCCGGGTCACTCCACATTGTTGCAAACGCCGGCGGGAGGAGGGTCTCTTTCTCGACTATTCGGATAGTACCATCTTCCTGTCGCTCTCATAGGGAGGGTTGGCCATCGCAATCAGTTCTATCTGGTGTTGCTGCGTAGCCGAGGCTTTCTTTGATCTTGAAAATAAAGAGCAAACATCTTGGAGCCACAACGTGTAGCTGGGACCTACATGGGGGCATGCTTCCAGGCCTGTTCTTCCCTGAGCAACCCATGTGATCCCTACAATCCTCCCGATAACATGTGGTCCGTTCCAAGAGCACCAAATTTTGCTATACACCGTAATAAATGTA